AAAAAAAAAAAAAAAAAAAAAGAACAGGATGAGAATTGAAAGAACAGCAGTTAAAAGTCGACTACGTTGCGTGCTTTGAAATTGAAAATTTGTTGATTAAAATTTGCATTAGTGCAAAAATATAAAAGTTTGAAAAGCAAAAAAAACAAAAAAAAACAAAAGTAGAAAAAAAGGGAAGAGAAAGAGAAAAGGAAAAAATGAAGGTTTTTCATTAGTGTAAAGTCCTCAGACAATAAGTTTGGTAAAGATCATTCTGTTGCGGTTCATTTATGCTCTGAAAGCACATTAAGTCGACTTTTTAAAATGTTGGTATACGTAAACCAATCAAACATTAGTCTTAACTTCAAAATCTCTTGGTAATTTTGTCTTTGTTTCAAGAAATTAAAAAAAAATAACAAATAAAAAAAAAAAAACAAGAAACAAAAAACAAATAAAAAAAAGCAAAAACCCTAAAGCTTTCACTGATACAAATGCAGCTGTTTTTTTCCCCCTTCCCTCCCCATTTGACTGCTAAACGTCAAACAATATAATGTAATACTTTAATAAAAACTCTTTGATTAAATGATAAACTAAATTGCTTAACTTTCTGCTTGATTAAAAAACATAGTGTTTGTTAATAATCCACAAAAAAAACCATATAAATATTTACCTGGATTGAGTAGCAGCAGAGTTTTCAAACAAATGAACTCATCTTGGCTGATATTTAGAGCTTTCACTTGATAGAAGACATCTTCCAAATTTTGAATCTGTTCTTTACTGGGAAACAATGTTGCTGTTAAAATAAAAAATCCCTTTTCCAACGACAATGACCACTGAATAACGCTGAGAAGGAACAAATCACACCAGGCTTCTTCCAGGCAAAGAAGCTATAAATAATACTGTTTGTTTTTCTTCTTTCTTTTTTTATTTTGTAAGAGAAAAACGCTATTTACCTACAATAATTAAAGATAATTTTAAACAAAGCAGTACAGAAGATGTGAAAAGACATAAAATGTCATAGTAAACAGCCCAATAAAATCAGACAGCTTGATTTGTAAAGTCAAAAGCAGACCTGGTCACCTAATGGAAGTGTTGATAGGGCTGAGAAACTTTTGACCCATTTAACAGCAATGTACAGTACTTTTGTAGCCACTTCGTAAACCGATTCACTTCTACCAAAATCATCTATGGTTGAAGTTTCATCTGGACAATAAGACTGTAAACTCAATATATATGCATCACCCATAATAGTATTCTTTTTGGTTTTTTCAGCACGAGATCACCTTGAAAAAACAAAAAAAAAAAAAAAATAAAGCTTACCTGATCCGAATTGGTTTTAAATGCAATAGAATTTGAATCTACAGAAAGATTTTTGGTTAATGGATCAGTAGAAAATGTGGCTTCAGATGTACTGCTACTGCTGCAACAGTATAAAAACATTTGTTTTTACAAGATTGCAGTTGTTAACAGCTGATTAAGTTTTTTTATTCTTCAATGTTTATTGCAACAATTTGTCGTGCGCTCAATTAATATATTACTCCTGACATCAGTTTATAGACAGTCATGTAATTTAGCAAAACAAAAATAAAAAAAGTAAACCTGGCTTCATCATTAATTCGAACTGTTGCTGTACTTCGTGGCTGACGTTCATTTTGAACAGCTAAATAAAATAAGAATATGATTATTTCAAAAAACCTATAGTCTTTTTAAACGTTTCAGTAACCTCAGAACAACAATAAAAAAGGTAGTTGTCAGATATGTTTACAAAAGGTGCTCATTTTTTTGTTTTAAACTATTTTTGCAAGAAAAAAATAATAATAATAAAACAAAATAAAATACAAAAAAAATAAATAAAAAAAACATAAAAAACATCTATTAAAGTGATTTGTTTGGCAGAAGACTTCCAGAAGATTATAGTTGAAAAAGAAATTACACATATCTACGTAAATGTTCTAATAACGGTTAAACAAGTGCAGTATACACATATATATTTCTTCTTTTTTTTTTTCTTGTTTAACCCCATTCTCATTGACTATCGGTTGACAAGTGTTTTTTTTTTTTAAACAAAAAAAATTTTTTTAAATGACAGAAAAAACATTGAAATCTAATTAGAAATAAAAAAAAACAGCTCCAAAATAACGCATTTAAAAGTTTTAATGTAAAATAACAAAGTTGTTAAAATGTCTTTTAATATTATCGATGCCATCTTTGGTAGAGATACAAAAATCAGAAGTGAATTGTTGGCACTTAAATATTTTATGAATTCTAGATGTGCCCTATGTTGGTAATCTTTACACCAAATCAAAGTAGTAATTGTGTGCTGATAAAAAAAGTAATAAATTCAAATAAAAACTGTGTAAGTAAATCTAAAAAATGAATTCTTTACCGTCTTTATTCATTCCTTTACTCAAACATTTACGTAACCGACAAGCTTGGCATTGATTTCGATGTGTTTTATCAACAACACAAGAACCGGTACCGGCTTGACACCGGTAGATTATTCGTCGACGAACGCTTCGTTTAAAGAAACCGCTACATCCATTACACGCTAAGATACCTGAATTGGTCAGCTAAAATGTAACTGAACATTTGACCATTGTTAACAAGCCACTGACAAGCAGAATACGCTAACCATAATGCTTGCCACTAGATATATCACCACAAACAGCACACAAAAGTGTCGGTGAATTTGTTGTACATCTACCAGGCAACAGTGATGTGACTCGGTTTATTACCGGCGCTGAACTGCTAGATGCTGATGAACTGTAAACGAAAAAAGAAGAATAATAAGTGAACAATTTGCTGTAGACAACATGCAGTAAAACTTATTGAGAAAAGTTATAGATAACTCTCAAAATGTAACTACTCCTTCTTCAATGTCTAAAATATAAGTGTCAAAAGAATTACATCGAATGCCTCATTTGTCGACAGGTAGCAGCATTCATCGCTGCTGATACAGCTGCAGCTGCTACAAATGATCCATTCATGTAGTTTGGTGGTATAATACCAGAAGACGTTAATAGTGTTGAAGTTTGTGTTAGCAACGGTAATTTTGACATGTTGCTGTTGTCATCTTGGCTTTCTAATGAAGCTTGTTTTATTTTATTTTTTAGAGCTGTTGGTGATAAGCCTAAAGTTTGGTTTGGGTATAGAACTCATTTAGTAAGTTGCAGTTCTTTTTTACTCTTCTCAATTTTTTCACCTGTTTACCGTTGAAAAGTGTGCTACAGTATACAACAACCAAACTTAAAGTCTTCCTCATCCATTAAAAAGAAAAAAGTTATTTAAAAAAAAAAAGGAAAAAAAATCCAGAAATTCTGATAAAAACGATTAATATTAAAAATTTCAGCTTCTCTCTACACTTAAATGTTTCAAGAAGACAAAAATAAAAATTAAAAAAACTGATCATTTTGAAAAATTTTTTTTGCTTTTCAAATAACATTATTTGATAGCACTATTGGCTGATAAAATACTGCTAAAGTAAAAAAAAACATAAAAAGAGATACAGTGATAAAGTAAACCTGATGTGCTGTCAGCAGCTGTTGCAGATTTTGAAAAATTTAAGGGCTGATCTTCGTCCATGGCAGTTTCCATTTGGAATTGATAAACATTAAATATTTGAACTTGGAATTTTGATTTACGAAGCTGCAAGTAATAAAAGCCGGAAACCCTTCGGTGCAGTTTCACTGCAGATGGGCGGAGGATAAAAATTTTTCGTTTTTTGTTTGATGGATAAGCTGCTTGATTGGATAGGTTCTGATGTTTTCGGACCGCCTTTGCTGCTTGCTTTTATCACTTCTGCTGTTGTTGCTGCTGCCTTTGGCGACGATGGCGGTAATGGTACTGGTGTCACTGCTGGAAAAAGTTAAACCAAATGACTTGCTAGCAAGTGATGTCCAGCTAATTATATTAACATTGAAGTGAAAGTTCAGCGGTATACCAAATCTGCTTCACGTAGCACACACCACTAGCTATTTATTTTTTTAGAGTCGCTTTATCCAGGACAATCCGTTGCAAGTTGTGATTTCCACTCCTGCAGGAAGGTGACAAAAGAGAAAGGTCCTTCTTTCAAACTATTTAGGTAAAGGTCTTCTGTGTCAAGCAGATCTGTAATTGAGGAGCGGTACGAATAGTCGGCAACTGAGGTTAAGCAAGAAAATGAAGGTAGAAGGGATGCTGTCTCTGTTTTCACCTTAATTCCAAATAGATATTCTAGGCTCCTGTTAAAATTCAGGAACTAGGATAAAAAAATTAATTTTATTTCTATAACAAGAACCGCAACAGTGTTAGAGTGACTAACAAGAAAATATTTGGTTGAAAAGATCAATTTCTTATAAACTACACTAAAAATATCCGAAATTTTCCAAAACTAACTTGGTCAATTTTGCTATTTTGATTTTACAGTAAAGTTGACAAGTTATTGAAACTTTAGAAGGTATAGCTGCGTAAATACAACTGAACTGAATTTGTTGCACCAGTATCGCAGTTTCTTCAGAGCTGTTTCTAAATGATGGGCAAAGTAACAAATTTCCATCAGTAATGTTCTGCTGACATAAGTATAGCCTTTGTAATTCTATCGTAACTTCTTGAGAGCATAAAAATTGCTGGCTAAAGCTATTTGTTTACGAGGTAATGCAATTTTTGCTAACTTTCTCGTTTTCTCATCATTACCTTTTTCTCTCTGAGTGAAGGAAATCAAATGAGACAGACAAGAGATATCTGCTTGCCTCGACTTTGTTCAGTTCACTCGAAAAGAATATTTAAGCAAAGAAAAAAATATCTATTCTCGGTGAAGGATTTGAACGCTTCTCAATGCAAATAAAGATGCAATTTGGAGCCAGCCAAATAACTACTGTGATACTAGAGGTATTGATACTGCTGTAATTGATCGGTCAGCCTGATAAGGCGGAATAAGGGGTTTTCAGAGGAAAACAGCTGTGTTGCTCATTGTGTTGTAAACTACTCTATATTCAGTGAAAAATGCTAAACTTTTCCTTTTATTCACTAACGATAGATGTCAGAAAAAAAGGTGTCTACGCAAATGGCATTTCATTAAACTTAAAAAAAGAAAGGTAAAAAGTCTTTGCGTGTTGGTCACATTTTTACTGGTTTAATTTTTTCTATTCACTTTTATTAAATATTTCCGTTAAATAAATAAAAAATTGATAGCGTGAACACTGTGAACAAAATAGTGACTTTAAAAAGTATTTCAAGATTAATTTTGAAAAAGTAATTTCAAAAAAAGAGCACAAAACAGTAACGAAAAAGATAATAAGCAAACAACCATAGAACCACAGCTTAGTGTTGATGAATAAAGTAGTATCAAAATGCTCTACTAGTACTTACAGTCAAAAATCGTGCATCGGTTAGTAGTTCAGTGAATTAGTCGTCAATTTTTGATTACTCAGTGGTTCTATTGCGTATCATTGAAGAAGCAGAAAGTTACTGATTAAGTTTTACAATCAGCGTTTTCATCTTTGAAATCTTTGTTTTTCATATTATTTTACTTTATAACTACTTCTGTGTCAAACCTTTTCCTATCCATTTTCTTTTCATGAGGTAAGATAGGAAAGCTTAGAGAAGAATAAAGGCATTTTTATATAGGTCAGTCAGTTCAATTTTAGGATTTTATTGTTTCGGAAGATTGAAGCAACAATGAAAGCATAAATTTTAGGAAAGGTATTGCAGAAACGAAAAGTAATAGA